TTATTCACCTAAAGACTAATCACTAAATGCTCGAGGTGATGGATACCCTAAATACCCTGACTTGATCATTACACGTTATATGCATGTACTAAATACCACGTGAGTATGTACAAACATTATATATCAATAATAAAAAGGAAAAAAGACTAATCACTAGTTGGAGGTGGCAGAGATTAATCTGGAATTTTACACTCGTTTAATACTTTTTGCTGGCCATTCCTAATCAGATAGTCATCCATTGACTGCACGTTGTGCATATTGGTGGTATGGGACACTTTTAGTAATTAAAAAATAATAAAACCTTTTTAGGAGCTATGTGACTTTGAAAAAGTTACTTAGCCTCTCTGTTTACAAAGTTTTAAAGTTGGGTAATAATACCTTCATTAGGTTGTTGTGAGAATTAAGAAATAATATATGGTCTATGGCCATACCACCCTGAACGTGCCTGATCTCGTCTGATCTCCGAAGCTAAGCAGGGTCGAGCCTGGTTAGTAATTTTAAAATACAAAATTTTTTTTAAAAAAGAAATAATATATGAAAGTGCTCACCATACAGGCATTTATCTTCCTATTAGCTGGTTCCATCAGAAAGATAAAGGAAATCTTAAAAGAAAAAAACTTCCCTGAACTATGTCATATTATGATTTTATCAGATGTGCTCCTGGGCAGTTTCTGCTCTCATATGTGAGATGGTGGTGGTAGACTATGCAGCAGCACATGACATCCTTCTGAGTATGGCTGGACCTGTGCCCAGGCCTGGTATTGGAAGTCAGTGCCCATTAAGAGATGAGAACTCTTGATTAACAAATCTGAATCCAAACCATATTCAGTATTCAAGTTCCAGCTCAGTATATTTTGTTCTGTTTAAACCACTACTTTGACTATATCTCCCAGAGATAAATAGTTCTGTATTTGGTATGTAAACCCTTAATTTCTTCTAGCACTAATGGTGATTGTTCATTACAGCATTTTGCATGTATATTGATGTTATTGGGCAAAATTTTCTCTCTTATCTCACTGGAACACACTCTAAAAATGGTGACTTTCAGAGTTTTTGACAACACAGTGAGAACTGCCTTTTACAATCCAGTTCATGGTTAAATATATATATATGTATATCTGTGTATCTGAAACACAGGTTTCATGAAAAGATATTAACCCTTATTATGTACTGTGTATTCTGATTTTTTTCTATCCTATTTTAATTTTTAAACATTTGGTATCATTAAGCACTGAGTCATACCCCACAGTTTGAAAAACATTGTTCAGAGAACTAATTCTTGTTTTTATGTAGGGTGCTTCGTAAGAGTAGGACAAAACTAAAGAAACTAGAAAACATTTGAGAAAAACTTGAAGGAATGGCATCATATTATAGGAAAACTATGAATGCTTAGTTAGAATGGGAGAGGCATGTTTTGTTTCTGCATAAAGAACTTTATAACAACCAGATCCCCAAATTGAGATGTGCTGCTTAAAGTCCCAACCTCATTGATGAGATTAAAGAAACTGAATAAGTCAGTCATTATTGAGAAAATTTACACCTTAGGGAGAGAGTTCAGTTAAATTTCTTAAAAGGTCTCTTTTAGTTGTAATTTTTTTTTTTTTTTTTGTGACCTCTGCCCACATACTTTGTTTCACTGTTTTTTTTTTTTTTTTTGAGACAGAGTCTCACTGTGTTGCCTGGGTTAGAGTGCCGTGGCATCATCTTAGCTCACAGCAACCTCAAACTCCTGGGCTCAAGCGATCCTCCTGCCTCAGCCTCCCGAGTAGCTGGGACTACAGGCATGCACCACCATGCCCAGCTAGTTTTTTCTGCATATTTTTAGTTGTCCAGTTAATTTCTTTGTATTTTTAGTAGAGACGGGGTCTCGCTCTTGCTCAGGCTGGTTTCGAACTCCTGAGCTCAAACAATCCGCCCGCCTCGGCCTCCCAGAGAGCTAGGATTACAGGCGTGTGTTTCACTGTTTTTTAAATGGGTGGGACTGTTTTGCTCAGTTCTTTGTTATAAGGGTGTTTGACCAGTTGGATCATGGTATTTTCAAAACTCTTATATTAATAAAACTCCAGATATGACACACTAAATTATGGTGATACTTATCTTCAGTGATATGTGTGTATGATAAGAATGAAAAGAGCAGAGAGCAAAAAAGTACAAAGTTAATGTTCAATGTACAGTAGATAACATGTAATTTATAAGATTAAAAATCAAGTTTGTGATAAAGTCAATGAATTTCTCATTTAATTATAACATTAGACTGTTCTATGATTTGTCCTGACATTTTTGCAGAATCTAAGATTAATTCAAGAAATGGTTTCAAGAAAGGAGTGAATACTCTGAAAATATTATTATCTTCCTGGATTGAGGAATTCATCCGGAAAGCTTAAGAATACGAATGAGCTGTCCTTCCAGCGGGAAATTTCTTAGAATTCTCCTGTGATTTAAGCCAAAGCATTTGTGATAGAATTGTTAACCTCTAGTTGGTTCTGCTGCCTCAATTTTAACTAATTTTTAAAAGAATATTAACTTATAATTCTGTCTAGAATGATTATCAACTGATTTTCATCTACTGACTTAAATTTGATTATAAATGTACTTTATAGAAAGAGACCTTAGAACTTGAATCCAAGTGGATTATTGTGGATAGCACATAAATAATTGTGGATTATAAATCTTAACATAAGTGGCTCTGTGCCCTTAAATTGATGAACTAGTCGCTTGTAATGATCTGTACTGAGATACAAGCAGTAAAGTACATGTATCAATTTTTTTCAATTTAGTCTCTATGGTTGCTATTAGGAAAGTGCTTTTACAATTCAGCAGCTGGCTTCTAGTTAATCATTTCTTTTTTCATTGATTGCAAAAAACACTGTGCCCTTGATTGTCTATAAGGCAGTGATTTCAAATTGCTAGTGTTGGCCCATTAGTGGTCATAAATCAGTTTAGTGAATCATGGAGCAGTATATTTTTTCTAATTAGTAAAATAGAAGCCTTTTGGGAGGATGAGAGGAGGATGAGGCATAAAAATGTACCTGTCGGGTACAATGTACACTACTCTGGTTACAGGGACACTAAAAGCCCTGACTTCTGCATTATACAATTCATCCATATAGCAAAAATACTTGTACCGCCTTAATATTTGGGGAAAAAAAAGAAGAAGCCATAAGAGTGCCTGGCATGTAGTGAGCATAAATACTGTTTTGTGAATTTTTTGGTCCCATTATATGTCTATAGACCCTTGCTTACTATATGAGTGTATGTCTCACTTTGGACCACTATCAAGTAAGTTTGAAATACACTGGCATAAGAGATATAAAGATGAATAAACTAATGGAATTTACAACATACTATAATGTTAGCATAGTTTTGTTTGTTTAAGAAAACACTGAAAACAGGTTATAAGTGTGTGCCTAAGTGTTAGGAAATGAGTTATGGACTATCCTTACACAAAGTTGTCTGTCCTGGTGGTTTTCAGACTTCAATTAGTACGTAGTGATTACTTGGGATGCTTGTTAAAGTTCTGGCTGCTCTTGGAGAGTGACTCAGCAGATCTAAGATTGGGCTCAGGATCTAAATTTTTAATAAAACAGCACAGGTGAATCTAATATAGGAGTTCTCTGGCCACCCTAATTCTCTAATCATTTGTTTGTCTTTGAGGAATGTAGCATAGTGGTTAATGTGAATTCTAGTCAGGTGGCCTGGGCTTGAATCCAAGTTCCTCTGTAAACATTATTCTTTAAAAAATGTTTTGTGGCCCAGCGCGGTGGCTCACACCTGTAATCCTAGCTCTCTGGGAGGCCGAGGCGGGCGGATTGTTTGAGCTCAGGAGTTTGAAACCAGCCTGAGCAAGAGCGAGACCCCGTCTCTACTAAAAATAAAAAGAAATTAAATGGACAACTAAAAATATATAGAAAAAATTAGCCGGGCATGGTGGCGCATGCCTGTAGTCCCAGCTACTCGGGAGGCTGAGGCAGGAGGATCGCTTGAGCCCAGGAATTTGAGGTTGCTGTGAGCTAGGCTGACGCCATGGCACTCACTCTAGCCCGGGCAACACAGTGAGACTCTTTCTCAAAAAAAAAAAAAAAAAAAAAAAAAATGTTTTGTTTCTTTATGAATGGTTTTATGTTCCAAAAGTTTATTTAAATTTTCATTGGTACAAAAACATTTTAAAAATAATCAGACTACTGCTCTAGGTCAAGAAAATTTGAAAAATAAGAGTAGGATAAAAACAGGTCTGTATTTATCTATGTTGAAGGAAACAAAAGCCTTGTAGAATTAAAATTTGGGTTTGTATGGTATTTCGTATTGATATCTTTTTTTTCCTGCTTATCAAACTAATACATTCTTGTTGTAGAAGTACATAGTGTATAGAGTTTAACAGTTTCAAAATGCATTCCTTTTGCAGCTTCGAGATTGTATCCAAAAGACCTTGAATGAGTGGAGTTCCCAAATTAGCCCAGATTTGGTCAGGGTAAGTAAAATGTGACTACAGAAATCATGCAGGTCAAAAGGGAAGTGAAGTAAGCAGGAAGTTAATTTCCTCAGTTTTGTGAGGGAAGTCAATTAGGCAATTAGTCATAAAACTCTCTGTGGCTAATGGGCTGAGATGGCAGTCTGATCCAGAAGGCTTAAGCATAAAATGGAAAATCTGGATTCAGTAGTCAACTCTTTAACTAGACAAAATACTAGGATTCTTGTGCTTAATTCCCACCACAGTTTCCTCACCATGAGTGTTTTATTCCAGTTTATTTTTGATCTAGTTGAAAGCAATCTACCAACGAAAACTGTTTGATAATCATTCTTCTACTAGACTAAAAATGATTATTAAACAGTTTTGGTTGGTAGATTGCCTTAGTAGACTATCACCCTAGCAATATAGTCACTAGACATTTTTCAAATGTCAGGTATTCATTATCCTCATAAATTATTCATTATAATGCATTGGGATGGCCTTTGCTTTTTTCTGTTGTACTCAGGAAAAAAAATGTTTTGGCTCAAAATGCTTATGATTACAAAACTAACCATACTATTATCATATGATCCAGCAATCATACTCCTTGGTATCTGCCCAAAGGAGCTAAAAATTTAATGTCCACACAAAAACCGGTACACAGATGTTTATAGCAGCTTTATTCATAATTGCTAAAATTTGGAAGCAACCAAGATGTCCTTTAGTGGATGAATAGATAGATAAACTGTGGTACCTCCAAACAATGAAATATTATTCAGTGCTGAAAAGAAATGAGCTATCAAACCATAAAAAGACATGGAGGAAATTTAAATGCATATTACTAAGTGAAAGAAGCCAATCTGAAAAGGCTATATACTGTGTGGTTCCAACTATTTGATATTTTGGAAAAAGAAAAACTATAGAGACAGTAAAAAGGTCAGTGGTTGCCAGGGCTTAGAAGGGAGAGAGGGAGGGATGAATAGGCAGAGCACAGGGGATTTTTATGGCACTGAAATTGCTATGTGTAATACTTGTGAAGCCTATCCAGACCTCAGGTAAAGAACCATATTGTCTTATGGGTTATCTGTTTCTATTTTTTTTCTTTACACAGCCTAACAGAACAGGTATGAGGGTTATCTGTTTCTAAAGGGCATTATGGATAATAGAAAATTTTATAATCAGAAACATTACTTCTATATTTACAGTAAATATTACATGTTTATTATAGGAGTTTCCAGATGTCTTGGAATGCACTGTATCTCATGCAGTGGAAAAGATAAATCCTGATGAAAGAGAAGAAATGAAAGTTTCTGGTAAAGTCCAGCCTTTACAATTCATTTTGTTATATAGTGGAAGTGATAGTGAGGTTTTATTAGGCATGGGAGTAAGCCTTTCTTTGCTCCTGGTAGTGCTTGACTCAGACACTAAGTGTGGAAAATGAACAGATTCTTTTTTAACATAATTTTATTGTCAACTCTTAAGAGGGAGTTACAGGAGTTCGATGCTGGCTACTTCAGTGGAGTCAGAATAGAACTCAAACTTGCTATTCTTCATGATGTTCTCATGTCATGTCATGTAATTTATGTGTCAGATTTCAGAGCAATAGAAAGATTAAGGTGGAGGAAATGGAAAGGGTAAAGGGAAGGTTTAGGAGCAATGTCTACCCAAAGCAAGCATAAGCCCTCCCTTTCTGGTGGGACTGGTAAGCAGTGACTGAGGTCACCTGGGAGTGTAGAAAGAAGTTTGGGCAACAAGTTGCAAGGAGAGAAAGGCAATACATATATAACTCCCATTCAGCATATGTAGTGCATGAGTACTACATTCCAGAAACTGTATTAGGCTCTAAGAATACAAAAATGAAAAGATGTACTGTTCCTGCCCTCACCTTACAGTCAGCATAGCATAGTCATTAAAAGCTTGAGCTTGACTAGATTGAAATTCCTGGGTGTGGTCTATTTGTCATTGCACTCGTGACATTTAATGTCTTGAAAGTTGTCATACAGCCAGTAAGTGGTTATACCAGGAATCCATCCAGGTATGCCTGACTCCAAAACCCATTTCTTTCTATTAATTTCATATTGCTGTTTGTGTTAGAAAGGAAGTAAAAGCAACATTCTTTCTGTGGTTGATTATAATTCATCGTAATGTAAATCCATCTTAGAGCTCTTAGAAATTGTCCTCAGTTCCTATAGGGCTTGAGATTTTTGACAGCTTTCAAAATTCTCTCCATATGAAGAGGTTTCTTCATTCCACGTATCCAAAAGTGCCTCATCTCAGAGAGAGCAGGCCATTTCAGAGGGTGCAAATTCATGGATGGAGGAATAGTGGTGGGGAGGGTTTTCAGAGTTTAATGGGAGCTAGGGTTGGAGCAAAGTGGTGAATACTGGCTCTCCTCTGGTAGGGGAGCCGTGATGGCTTTTCAGTAGGGGAGTAACATGAGGAAAGCAATGTTTTTTAGAAAGATTATCTAGCAATAGAAAGCGAGGGACACATACAAGAAACATTATACAAGAAAATGTATACATTATACAAGAAAATGTGTTGCATATGTTGAATGCCAGGTACTTTACATAAGGGTACACATAAGGGTATTTTATTAGCCCTATTTCTCTCAGTGCCCCTTTCTGATTTTTTCTTTCCTTGCTCTCCTACTACTCCATCTGTTTATCTATTGAGTAAATCTAGATTTTTGAACAGTGAGTTTACATGAAGTAAATATGTACATACAAAGTTGAGTTTAAATCAAGCCAAAGCCTCAATCTTGTAAATATAGAAAACTACTCAACATACCTGGTAACCAAAGAAATGTGAATTAATGTGGCCTTAGGTAGGCATATATTGTATCTACTAAATTAAAAAAAATTTTTTTTAAATAATAGCATCCTATAGTTGTTAGGAGAGAAATTCCTAACTGTTGGTGGTCTGATAAATTGGTACATATCTTTTATAAAGTAGAAGATAAGTAAAATATAACAACTTACACAAAAAAGCTATATCTTTTGAACCATAATCACATTTCTGACAATTCATCCTTGGGAAATGATTCAGTGTGAAGTTGAACAAAAAGTTACCAAAATGTTCGTTTTACCATTATGTGTGATAACAGAAAACTGGAACTACTACTGGAACATTTACTAACCTAAATGTTTAATAAGCAGGAACTCACTTAGTAAATTATATCCTATCAAAATTACAGAATAATGTTCAATCATTAAAAATGAGTATGTAAAATTATACATTAAAAACATAGAATACATTCAAGGCCACCCTTGAGTGAAAAAAACGGAATACACAAAAATCTAAACAGTAATTACCTTGGGTGATGAGACTGTTGTCAGTTCTTTTTGTTCTTTCTACTTTCATAGGTTTTCCTCATTTCTAGAGTAAGCACATGACTGTTATGATAAAAATTTTAAGATAACTAAATACACATAAATATATAAAAAATATTTATTACATAAAGATAAACCAAATAGAAGTAGAAACAATGTTATGCTCTGCTTCATATGACCAAAAACTGGAAACTAATGTCTAAAAATGAAAATGATTGTATTAGGAAGGTGAAATTGTGGATTTTTTTTTTTTAGTTTTCCTCTCATTATAGCCTTTTACTTTAGTCTTTGTATAGATTTTGGTTTATTGGAAAACGTACATAATATGCTCCATTAATGTTTAATTCATAAAAATATATATTTCAAGTAAATTTAAACCCCTATATTTATCTGACCTGCCTTCTAATAAATGGGAAATTAATATTTGCTTTTTGTTTTGACAAACATATTTGTTGGCAACTAGCATATAATTTAAAAATTACAATGGAAGGATATTTTTATGTTTTAAAATGAAAATTTTAAAAATCATGTGACTAGGAAAGGAAAAAATTCATTGAGGATTATCTGTCATCTTAGTCTTAGGGCAGTATTAATACTAACGTATAGTAAAATGTATACCCAAGTGTAGTAATCGATTTTGTCTTCTTCGTTAACCAGCAAAACTGTTCATTGTAGGATCAAACTCTTCATCATCAACTAGAAATGCGGTTGACATGGGTAAGCAAAAATTTAATTTTTTATCTTAATAGGGGGCTTTAAATTAGTGTAGGTATTTTTAGTTATAACTTCTGTTTAGGTCCAGGTAAAAAGAAAATGAGCTGATTCCAATTTTACCTTTTAAAGTTCTAGCCAAATTTCTTCTCTAGAATCATATTGACTTACGTAGGGTCATATTTTGATATATAAGAGGAATGTAGAAGATGTAACATAATTAAATGTTAACTGTCTTTAGGGATAGATGTTCTCCTTAATCATATTCTCAGCCCTTTTAATGCTATAGCAAAAACAATAGCAACAAAATCCAAGTATTTTATATCTATTTTCAACACTTGGTTAGGTTATTGTGGTATTACAGTTATTCAATCCTTTTTTTAAACATTCTTTGAGCATTTATAGGTGTTGAAAACTTAAATAATTGGTTCTTTAATATAATTGTAGAATAAACAATAATCATTTAAAATGAGCTCTTAAATTATTTTGTAGAAATTAAGAAATTTTCTACCTCCATAAATATAGATTAAGACCATTTTTCAGAGTCTCAGCCTTATTCTTTGCTATGACTACCAGTTATAGAATATTAGGTCAAAATTCTTGTGATCATCCATATGAGATACTAGTGAGCAAGTAGAACTGGAGAAGAAGAAAATTTTGTGAAGATAAGGAAGCTACCAAAAAATTCTTGGGTGTAGGAAACAAAAAGGAATCCTGTTCCCCAGAAAGAAGAGCCCGTAGTAGTTGTGAGCATCCTAGGAAGAAGGCAGGTCAGAGAAACCCACTTGATCTGCCCCTCAGAGCAAGTAGGTGGATGGGCAGTTACACATTTTCAAAAGCTGGAAATGTTCTAAATGAAAGGTAAATTAAGAAAGTATCTGTTATTTAGAAAACTAGTGAACAATATGGACAGAATTCAGTGGGATACTTTAAGGACATTAGAAATATTTGTTTTTTTGCACATTGACAACATGTGAATTAAAAAGAGAAGAGAAATATTTGTTTTTATTATGTAACAAACATCCTCTTTGTGTTTTCCTTCCCATCAGCCTGTTCAGTCCTTGGAGTAGCACAGCTGGATTCTGTGATCATTGCTTCACCTCCTATTGAAGATGGAGTTAATCTTTCCTTGGAGCATTTACGGCCTTACTGGGAAGAATTAGAAAACTTGGTTCAGAGCAAAAAGATTGTTGCTATAGGTACCTCCGATCTGGACAAAACACAGTTGGAGCAGCTCTATCAGTGGGCACAGGTAAAGGATGGCTAGATCATGAGCACTTGGGGAGGAGCCTGTCCTTTTCAGCTTTTGCTGCATATTGTTTGTTGAGTGTTCTGCACATAGTAGACACTCACCAGGGGGATGACTCTTCCAAATGTGAGAAGTTTTTGTTTTTTTGTGTGGGGGGGAGTTTTGAGGCAGGTTTTATCTAAATCATTAGGGTTTGGGTTTTTGTTTTTTTTTTTTCCACTTATGTCTAATTGAACTGAATATTAATCCCAGTTAAAATGAATGAGAGAAACACTAGGAAATGTGTGTTGAAGCATTTCCAGCCAACTAAATTAAGGCCATTTCCTTCAGTTTTACTTATGTGCTGAAAAATGTGTAGAAAAATACTACATTTTTCTTTAGATATTAATAGACTGTGGCTCTAATTTCCTAAGTAAAGGAATATTATATATAACAAATATTTTGCTAACTATTATTCAAAGATGTCTGAAACTCTCAGTTCATACAACTTGATATGGAGTGAGTGTCATAAATTAACTACTCCCACCCTCTGGTCTAATAACCTACCAAATTATTTGGGAAGTTACTTACTAGTATTTTACCTTTACTCTCTGTATTTTTCTTTATTCCTTTTCCTTCATCCTCAGCCTTCTCCTCTTTAGAGCTTTCAGAGCTTCTCATGGACAAAAAGACCCTAGAGAAAATGTTGCCCCTTCTCCCTTTGACTTGGTGATAGCTAGGCTAGAATGTAGCCAAGAAACTCCTAGAGAGACTTAGATGATTCAGAATGTATATATATAAATTAACTGTCCAGCTATTGGAAGTTATCAGTTCTTCTCTTTTAAAATTTGTCTGATTACTAGCCATATTTTATATTTTAATATTAAATGTACTTATATTTGATCCTCTACCTTTAAGACCTATTCCCTCTGTGGCTGAAACCATCAAACTTAGAATCATGTTTATTTACTAGGCAGATGTATTAGATTGTTAAATGGTTCATTTTATAAACTTTAAGAACTATAGAATGTGATTTTTCATGTATTCTAAAATTAAGTCCTTTTATTGCTTATTGCTTTCTACTTTCTATATTATACTTACTTTAGGAGAAATGTCATTATTTTATTTTTGCTTCTAGGTAAAACCAAATAGTAACCAAGTTAACCTTGCCTCCTGCTGTGTGATGCCACCTGATTTAACTGCATTTGCCAAACAATTTGACATACAGCTATTGACTCATAATGATCCAAAAGGTAAGAGTGGTGTTTTCATTATAGAGATTGATCATGAGCTTTTGTCTTACAAAAAGCTAGTTTTTGAAATTGACTTTTTAAGTGTATGCAGTGATAAATGTACGGTGTTATCTAGAATTATTCTTAATGGTTAGTTCAAAACGTTTATGCCTTTATTTTCAGAAAGCTTTATTTTATCTTTGTACCGAGGGGGGGAAAGCGAAAGGATCATTTCCTGAACAGCTTTTACATCTGTTGAGGTTCACAGATATTAAACTACAAAGAAAAGATCTGTTGAGACATTCTAAATAATAATATATATAATCTTGTCTAGTACAGCAAAGATGGGACCAAAGGGCCACTTAATTTTAAAGGATAAATATCTGGAAAAAGAGGCACATATAATTTAATTCAAAACATAAAAAGCATCTTAGGTTAGATAATTAATGAGGTATTTTTAATCATTACTATCAAGATACATGTTTAGTGTTAATGAGAAACATTATTTGATTAATGAGAATGGCTTGCCTGCTTTCTGTAGAATAATTTTTTATCAACATTTTACAAGTTAACTAGATAGGCTAGGAAGAAAATGTTTAAAATAACTTGTAAAGATAAATGTTTCAGAGAGCCTGTATATTTACTATTTTTGTTGTGAGGAAAGTCTTGTGAAAGTTTTAAGTCTCTATGACATTTTTATAGAGATTCTGTTTTAATAAATATTGGAGGAAATTATATTTTATAGATGATTCCTAGAGAAAAAACATTCAGTTTTTACTTCTATTTTTATGTCTAAAAATATGACATATTGGTGGTTTGATTCAATTTGCTCATTTTTAGAATGCTATTAATAACCTAGTAAGACTTTATACTATTTATTAGCAGTCTACTCCATTCTCATTTTTTAACTGTTTCATCAGAAGTGGAGGAAGCAGAGGAGGAATAGTTTTAATAATTATTATTCCTTCAATGCTATGCATCATGCCAAATACCTCAGAGATTATCTGTAATCCTCACAACAGCTGAAACTAGACATTTTATTGATGAGGAAATAAAGCCTGAGAGTTTAAAATTAGCCAAGGTCATCCAATTGACATGGGGCAAAGTTTGAATTGGACCTAGGTCCTGGATGATTCTCGAGCCTTTCCCACTATGCTGAACTATCTCTTTGATTTGAAACATTCGTATTTTAGTATTTCAGTCTCAAAACTTTATTTCCATTTAAATGATACCAGAATAAGATATAGTGACTTTTGCCTCCCCAGTAGAGTTTTGACTAAAATGACTAAAAAAGTCATTTTAGTGAAAATCTAACAAAGAATTGCTTTAATTTATTCTAAAATATAAGCCATTTAAATTTTACCTTTCCATATATTTGCAGTTATAATGTATCTGTTTACTTTGGGGGAGGCTCTTCTAATAGTAATTGTTAACAACAGCTGATGACCCCAGCCTGTATCCCCTTCTACTTCCAACTGAAAACACTCTATCCTTTTGCCAATAGGAAAGGAAGTAAGAAAAGACTAAGATTTCTACTATTTTGTTTCCATGTATCTAAATGTTGACATTTAGATTATGTGCTAATACATCATTGTTATGACAAAATATATTGCATATATGTATATGAGGAGAGAGATTTAATCCTTTTTGGTATGGTTTTGTATTACTGACATAATTTGATACTTGGTTGTCCTTTTAATTTTAATTCTAAACCTTTTGGTTAGAATTTATAGGCTGATCCTGCAGATACCATTAGTGAATCTTCAGATACTATAATGAAGCAATTCTTCATTTAATTTATTGTATTTACTGACTAAAGAATTAACATAGTTGAATTTTAAAAGTATGTAGTTAATGAATAGCAGAGTTCTCCAATTTTGTGTCCAATTTTTTATTTTTAAGCAACCAAATTGTAAAATATTTAACTCTACTTGTCATCTAAAATAGAATTTTGTTTATAAGTCCCATGAAGGTCTACTTCTATTCTGAAATTACCCTTATTCCTCAGATGGATTTATTTTCCATTACCCTTTGTCCTAGAAGTTGTAGTAACAGTTTAGCTACAGTTAATGTAAAATCGTAAAGTAGGTAATCCTGACTTTAGAACTTTTCTTTTTTATTTGCTTTACCCCTCCCCCCACTCCCATTAAATCTAATATGTATTATGCCTCATTCCCTCAGGGTCCTCTTCTCTGCTAGATAATCTGATAAATAAATCCATATTATTGTTACTTTTCCAAGGAGACATTTGCATTCTGTTTATGAAAACTAACATTTACTAGCTGTGTGACCTTGGGCAAGTTACCTAACCTCACTGCCTCAGTTTCTCCCTATAAAGGGAAATATTAGTAGCTATCTTACAGGGTTAACATGTAGATTAAATGAGTTAATACATGCAAAGTACTCAGAAAAGTGCTTAGCACGTAATAATAGCTAACATTTACTGAGGGTTTACTGTTAATGCTGTTTAGGTATCACAACAGTTCATTTGGGGGTGGTCAGGTCCTTTAGCACTCCCAAATCAGGCTGTGTAGATGGTCACGTAAGCCCTACCTATAGGTTGATTTTGACCCCAGTGGAATCTTTCCATATTAATTAATTCATTCAACAGTCATTTCAGCACCATGTGCCAGGCATTGTTCTGGGTATTAGAGATAAAGGACCAAATCAGACAAATGCCAACCCTCATGGAATTTATATTCTAATGGGAGGAGACAGACAATAAAATAAATGTTATATATGGTAAGTGGTAGTATACGCTATGCAGAAAAGTTGGCTGAGGGCCAAAAAGAACTTCCAGGTTAGGAGTTGTTTTATGTGGGACTGTCAGGGAGGCCTGTCTGCTAAGGTAATGTTAATCAGACACCTGCAAGAAGGAAGTGAGCCATGTGGCTATCTAGAAGCAGAGAGTTCAGGGAAGAGGGAGCAGCTGATTCAGAGGCCCCAAGGTGTGAATGTGCTTGAGGTTTTCACGATACAGCAAGGAGACCAGTGTGGCCGGAAAAGAGGTAGTGAGGAGGGGAGTGGTAGGATATGGCATCAGAATGGTGATAGAGGGTTGGATATAAACTTGGAATTCAAAAATAACAAGTTCATCAAAAAAAGTGCAAATTAAAAGATAGCCATTGGCAAAGATTTTTTAATGATTGCTGGTGCTCATGAGGATATGATAAGATTGGCACTCTCACATACCAACCTCTGGTAGAAGTGTAAAGTACAGCCTTTCTGGAAAGCAATTGGTAAGATACTGTGTGTCAAGCCTCAAGAATAGACTTGTACTCGGGACCTTCATTCCATAGCCAAGCATGCATTTTAAGGATGGTCATCATATCATTATCCTTATTAGCAAAATATTAGGAAAAATCTAAATGTTTTGACCAACAGTAAGGAAATGTATAAATTATGATATCTCTATTAATATAGTATTTGAGGAATTACTAAAAATGATGTTTTCACAGAATATTTAATTACGTGGGAAAATATTCACAATATTAAGTGGAAAAAATCAGTAAATTAGGCTGTAATTACAGTATGATTTCTAATTTTGTAGGATTGGGATATAAGACATATACAGATGTAATATATGGAAATATATATGGATATATAAGATATATATAGATATAAGATATGGAGATAAATATATACACAGAAAAAAAGTTGTAAAAGAAATACATGGCAGTGGAAATGGTATGTCGTCTCCAATTGATAGAATTTTGACTTTTTTTCCTTCTTTATGCTTTTCCTGTATTTTCGTGACTGTCCATTAGAATCACCTGGAGGTGTTCAGAAACTACAGATGTCTAGCAGCCTCCACTCACCAGAAGATAGGAATTAAATAGGCTGGAATGCAGGCGTAGATACTTTATTTAAAGACCTGCCTGAGAGCGTCTAATATTCTGGTTCAGATTCACAGCACACATGAAGTATATTTTATATTCAGTTTTGAGGTGTTTCTTTTGTTGTGTTAAATGGTTCCCTACATAGTAAAGTGATTTTGTTTCAGAATTTAACATTTTGCGGTTTTGTTTCTTGTTTGTTTTAGAACTGCTTTCTGAAGCAAGTTTCCAAGAAGCTCTTCAGGAAAGCATCCCTGACATTCAAGCACACGAGTGGGTGCCACTGTGGCTACTGAGATACTCGGTCATCGTGAAAAGTAGAGGAATTATCAAATCAAAAGGCTACATTTTACAAGCTAAAAGAAGGGGTTCTTAACTATGACTTAGGATCATAACTTGCTGACCTATATTTTCCTTGAATATAAGATAAAAATGAAATGTGTAAAAATCTAGTTACTGCCTGTAAATGGTGTCATTAAGGCAGATGCAGATATTCCGTTTTTTTTTTTTTGAGGCAGATGTTCTTTAGTTATATTTGACAGTATGTCATCTGTCAAGTTTTGAATACTTGCTTCCATATCAGTCCACTCACAGGAACCACTGTATTGTTTTCATTAAACTATTGTTTTCTAATTGAAATTGTCTATAAAGAAAATACTTGCAATATATTTTCCTTTATTTTTATGACTAATAGAAATCAAGAAATTTGTTGTTAGATATATTTTGGCCTAGGTATCAGGGTAATGTATATACATATTTTTTATTTCCCAAAAAATTCATTAATTGCTTCTTACTCTACAGAATAACTAAGCAATTTAATTACAATTTGTTAAACCTGAAATATAATACTGGAAGATATTTTTCCTGTCATCGATAAAATAATTATATCTCAGAGTAACTGGAGTAGCTAGAATTTACTCGTAGTGTAAATAAAATTCATTCTTCAATACATGAATGGAAACTTAAATCTTTTATATGTGTCCTTGCTTGTAGTTTAGCTATAATGATTTAACCATGTATTCTTGTGCTGTATTTTCTATTCTTATTACTTACAAAGACAAACCAAAGTAAATCTGAAAAGATGAGAAGCTTTAAAGTTACTGTTTGAGGGTTTTATAAAAGCAACTACTGTTACCTCCAGATTCTTTTAAATTCTCGATCTATCCTTAGTAAATTGCTACTCATTCAATAATATTCAGTAAGTATTGAGCACTTGCCATGTGCCTGGCATTATGGGCTCTGGAGAGAGGATGGGGCACAGAGCCAGGATTAAGAATCAGTTGAGTAAAATATGTGATTATTTATTTCCCATTAATTGATGAGGAGGAACTAAAAACAAGAAAAGGGGTTTTAAAAAAATCTTTAATTCAGGGCCAATATTGTCTGTTTAGACAACTTTGTTTGAGATATGGTCTTAACTATTTTAAAGCAGAACAATATAATCAAAACTTCTGCTCTAGAAGAGACTAGAGGTCATTTAGTATAATTCCTTATTAGTGTAAGAACCAGAAAATTGAAAATAAATAAAGCTGTGACCTTTGATACATACTATAGGTCTCCTTAATTCTATAAATTTGTAACTTGAAGAGTTTGAAAAGTTCTTTAAAAATCTCTTGTATCACGATATTTTTAAACCATGGGTCCATATAAAACTAATTTTGCTCAAGTTTTCTCAACTTAGGAAAAAGAACTATGATTCTATATTCAAAATAAATACAGTAGACCCTTTTCCTTAGTAAGATTTTGTGGTTTGCTGGTTGGATAATTTGATCATTGAAATTATAATGTGAAATCAGGTGATTTACCTCCTAAAACTTTTAGACATTGAGCTACTTAAGCCTTCTAGCTTTTTTTATGTAATGTTAGTAAATATATACAGTAAACTTTCAAATTTGGAAACTTACAACATTTTTTCATGTAACATAAATCTTTAAACTATTGTTCATTTTATTTTAAATCTATACAGTGAACTGTCCAAGATACCGTAAGTGGAAACTTTAATATCACATTTATTGCTTTTTAAAACCCTGGACTTACAAAAAAATGGATTGTTTGAAGGGTTATTTTGAAAGTGGGGGGGAAAAAAATCTTAATGTTGCTAATGTATCCAAACTTCAGCAGGAACTTTCTTGTGACCTTCCTCCCACCCCCAATTCTTGACAAAGAAGCAAGATTATAGATTGATTCATTTTGTGAAGGGGATCATGTATGAAACTTTTTAATGAATTTTTTTATTTCACCTCTGTACTCTGAATTTCTGTTATTGAATAACCTGTTTTAAAAAACTGATTTTTTAAGGCTTTATAATAAAGCTGATGTTCACATCTTTTTTCTTAAACTATCAGAATATAGTGAATACTTTTCAAATATTTAAGGACTTAATGTTTAAAAAGCCATAAAATAGTGGTAATACTACCAAATAATTGCTTAAAATTGAATGCTAAGTTATCAATAGTTTATATAACAGATATGCTTTCTGAGGAGATATGAATCCACTGACCCAAGGTAGAAAGAGTTTATATAATTGGGTTTTTTCCAGTAAATACAAAAAGAAGCTATAGCTTATTACATTTCTAAAATACATTGGAGCCTTACTTTAACACAGTGTACTGTAACTTGGAATTTGTTCTGAGTCTATCTTGAATTCTCATCCAAAAAAGTGTAGTCACCAGAAAGAACAAGATGTCTTATAAAATATATTCATGTGGTATAAATTCCAAAGACTATATTGTGCCCAGCACATTAATAGAGTATCCATTTAGGGATGACCATTGCCAGAACTTGAATCACAAACAATAGCTAATAATTTTTCAGTTCTCCGACAAGATCATTTGGACAGCTATGTGTAAAATGGAAAATAAAAAGTTATTCTATTTTGCACGAATGGTTGACACTTTATGAGAGCCAAGTAGTAATTAAAATTATGATCTTAATTTTCAGTGATAAAAGGTCTAAGGCTTATTTAATTATGTCTCTTTCTGTAAGATTTTCTTTCTAGATTTTTCACCCAGTATTTTCAATATTTTGGAATGTAAGTAATTGATATATTTAGGACATATTGGCCGACAGTTCATCTTTCTGCCAAATGTACATTTAGAGAAATGTGAAGCTGTTTTAATGAGGATTTAAACCATTTGTGTCATTTGTTTTCATAGTCAAATACACTAACTTATGATTCTGAACCTATTTTTTTCATCAGCTTTCTAATGTACCAGAACTTAAAACTGTCTTTTTCCTGTAAAGTTGGTAATGGGATATATCAGTTTTATTTTTGAAAAGTATGTAACATGACTTTCATTAATATTTTTATAGTTTTCAGAATCCATAATATACTTAGGAAGGGAAATGTTTTAATTAGATAATTCTACTTTTTTATGTGTCTGTAGTGGTATACTATAAAATAAAAGCAAAATATAAAGCATTAAATATAATAATTTTTAATTTTACCTATATTATGAACTTAAATAAAGTGTGAGTTGTATATTTTTAAATTGAGTTGTTTCAATAGTTGGAAGCATCCTCGAGCATTATATTGATTATGAACTATTTCAACTCAAACTGAGTATGATTTCAAAATAAATTAGTAACTTCTAAATACCCAAGCTGTAAAGCTATTTATGCATTCATTCATTCAACAGAGATTTATTGGATGCCTTCTATGTCCTAGGCACTGTGCAAAATGCTGCTGATAGACACAGATGAAAAATAATTCCTGTCTTCAAGAAGCATATAGTATATTTGGGGGAGAGAGGGAGATCTGTATATGAATAAGAGAAATAAAAGGCTGCATCTGTTAATGATGAAGTCGTGGAAAGGATTGGGGGCATGTGGAAGGAAGTGGGGCTGGGTAGCAGGGTAAGGACAAGAAAGGCTTCCCTGAAGAAACTAGCTCTAGAGTAGGGTCAGAGGACAAGATGCAGTGGGCATCCTGCACAGAGGCCCTTATTTGCCTTGTTTGTAAATATGCTCTTGTTGAATAATGAAGCATTTAATATGTAAACTTCAGAAATTCAATAAAAACACATTTAAAAGCTTATTTTTGTCAGGCAGAATGGAATGGCTTCTGTTGAGACAAGAGTAGGTAAGTTTGGAAAAGTCCCATTTTATAAAAGAGACTGAACTTGCCCAACTCCCCTAAATATTAAATATATCAGGATATGGCCGTATATAGTTCTGCTACCAGGGAAGTCAAACCTTTAATGTGTTTCCTCAGCAATGACTAAATGTGTAAAATGTCATACAAGATTTTGACATGTCTATTTGCCCATTACTTTAAGGTTCATGTTTTACAGTTAGCATTACTTATTTTGATTCAGCTCTTTTCCCAGTTTCTTTGCTCACTGTTGATTCTTGCATACTGCTCCATTTAAGTTCACTTCATGCTTAAGTATGTCCTTAGTAATTCTTTACCAAAGGGTTTTGGGTACAGTAAACTTTCTAGGTCCTGTTTGTGCACTCATGCGCGTGCTCTTTCCCTCTCTCTCTCTCTCTCTCTCTCTCTCTCTCTCTCTCTCTCTCTCTCTCT